TCAACCTGCTGTACATTGGTACTGTGCTCTCTGACTTGTGATTTTGCTTTTCTGTCATTTTTCCTGTGTCAGCTTTTCAGCTGATTAGCTGATACTTCTCATTGCTCTTATTTTCAGCAGTCTGTTCCTATTCTGTAGGACACAAAGACTGAAGGAGACATTGTAGATTAAACATTTTCAGCTTTTTGGCACTTGTCACCTCAATGTATTTGAGAATTAGGTCTGTTTTAGAATTAGCAATTTTGTCACTTTGAGGAGTTCCTCTGGCTGAAGTCTACATAGAATGTGATTTAAAAACTGCTTCCAAAAGTATTAGGCACTTCTGGAGTGTCTGATTTTCCCAGAATCTTTGGATACACACATCTATGCACAGAATGGTCTTGATAGTTATTGAGATAAGAAAATCACATGTGAAAGTGTCTCTGGATGGTAACAGCATACCAAAAATGATTCATAATCCTGAAGAAAGTCTTCTGAATCCTGCAGAAAGTTTTCTGAAGGCAGTATACATTTTTAAAAGCTCAATTGAAAAACTTGTTTGTTGTTTCTAAGCATATCTTGGGGATTACTTGTACGTTATCATGAGGTTGTTGCTGTCATGACTGTGCCCCTTCTGAAAGCCTGGTACCTTTATTGATCAAAATTAGCGATGCCAGTAACTTTATGAACCAACATCCCGTGCTTCATGCAGTACACCAAAGAGCCAAGATTTATCCTAGGGTATTTCAAAAAATGAGTTAATTTTTTAAAAATTGACCAATAAAAATGTATATTTATCATGTACCACATATAGTTTTGAAATTTGTGTTCATTGTAGAATGGCTAAGTTGAGATAATTAAAACATATATTACCTCACATCCTTACCATTTTTTTGTGTGGTAAAAACACCTAAAAATCTACTCAGTGATTTTCAGTAATACAGTTTTATGTTATACAGTATTCCTGGGATAGTCTCAGCAAAATATCTAACGTTAATTTAATCATAAAGAAACATTAGACATACCTAAATTGGGATATACCCTGCAAAACAATTTGCCAGTGCTTTTCAAGAATATCATGATCTTGAAAAACAAAGACTGAGGACTTGCTTCTAATTAAACTAGAATAAAGACATGGGCCAACTAATGTGTCATCTGATTCTAGATTGAGTTAGAAAAAGGACATAAATGAAACAGTTGGTGAAATTTGAACAATGTATATTCAGTACATATAGTATTGTATTAATGTTAATTTTCTGGGTTGAAATTTGTGTATCTGGCCAGCCTGTTTCTTTTTAGTGCTTAGTTCATTAAAAGCCGGAAAATTCGTCTCCAATATTTTACCATTTCCAGTTATCTGCAGTGAGTTACCCTGTGCATGCATATTTTCATATTATTGGAAATATTTTATCAGGATGGATTCCTAAGCATGAGATTTTGGAAGTTAAGTGCATAGGTAGGTAGCTTTGTTAAGAGTCAAAATTGCCCTGCAGAAGGGTTACAGCAAGGTGCCTTCTCCCCAGCAAGGAACTGTAAGGGAGATGGGCACATTTAGTTGACCCATCTCTCTCTCTTCTTTCTTTTTTGGTACTGGGGATGGAACTCAGGACCTTGCGCTTGGGAGGCAGGTGGCTGCACCACTGAGGTAAATCCCCTTGACCCATCTCTTTATTCGGTTTTAATTAAAAACAGGTCCTCAGTCTTTTTTTTTTTTTTTCAGGATTATGATATTTTTGAGAAGTACTGGCAAATTATTTTGCAGAATATATCCCAATTTAGATTTGTCTGTTTCCTTATGATTAAATTAATGTTAGATATGCCAGTCAGTGCCAGTCATCTCAAAGCCTCACCAACAGAATCAGTCCATTGTTAGAGCTTTTAATTTCCCCAGTCTGATAAGTAAGACATTGCATCTCAGTGTGCTTTTAATTTGCACTTCTCTAATTTTGAGTGATGGTGAACATCCTTTTGTGTTTTAAGGACATTTTTATATCTTTGTGAATTACCTGATTAGGTTTATTCCTTATATGTCTAAGGGATTTTGTTGTTCTCCCTCAAAGATTTTTTTTTCAAATTGATTAGTATTTTTAGCACTTTATTTGATATGTTTATTTCAAACATTTTCCTATAATTCATCAGTTGACTTGATTTTCATCATGTTTTTGACAGGCAGTATTATTTTTCTTTCTATCTATCTATCTATCTATCTTTTTTTTTTGAGACAGGATCTTACTCTATAGTTCAGGCTGGGCTTGAACTCACTATGTAGTCCAGGCTGGCCTCAAATTATTTATTTTATTATCTATCTATCTATCTACTTATTATTTATTTTACTATATGGTCCTCTTATAATATTGTTATGGCTTGTGTCTAGATGTCACCCAAAGCCTCATGTGGTCATAGGTGGAGCTTTTCAGAGGGGGCTGGATCTAGAGTATGTGGTGCTGGGATCAAGGGTGTGTAATTACTAAGTCAATCCACTGATTGGTTTGGCATAGTTCTAGCTAGGATTAAGTGTGTGAGTGCTACACTTGCCTGAGGGCGGGTAGCCTGCATAGAATATAAGGGACAGAAAGAGGGCCAGTGCGCTCTCCCCTGCCTGCTTGCCATGGACTAATTCTTCTCTGAGATGCTCCTGTGCCATACCACCCTGGCTTAGAGCCAACCAACTATGGATTGAAACCTCTGCAAATTGTAAGCCAAATAAACCTTTCCTCTTTGAACTCTGGGTATCGGGTATTTTGTCTCAGCAAGGAGAAAAGTAACTAAAAGAAATATCCTCTACATGGTTATTATTTCTGAAGGCTATTGATTTTTTCGTGTTTTTTTATCTTGCTACTTTCTGAATTCTTTCATTATTTGAATCACTTTTGCCATTGTTTCTGTAGGATTCCTGAGTACATCGCTATATTCCCTGATGAGATTGGGCGAAATCAGGGTGGCATGGCTGTAGTCAATTACTGTGTAATCTATAAGTAGAGATATTTTACTTCTCCCTTACTGGTCCTTATGTTTTTATATGATTTCTCTTGCCTAATTGAATTAGCTAATATCTATAATTCAGTCTAGGGAGGAAGGGTGAAAGGAAAGAAAAACAAGAAAAAAAAAGAATAGAAGGAAAAATGGAAACAAAGCTTTTGTAAACAAGGAGGGGAAGAGGTGTTGTGAAGGGGAATGGGAAAAAAAGAAGAAGCAAGATATATTATGTACAGGTACAAATTCCTTGTGATGAATGTGATCACTAGGTATAAAATGTACCAATAAAATATATTTTCAAAGATATTGAACATTTTTGCTTTGTTTACTGATTAAAGCCAGAAATTATGAACAAAATAGGTAGGTATCTTTATTGAGTCAAAGTTGCCCTGCAGAAGGATATATTTTGTTCATAATTTCTGGCTTTATTGCATTACAATCTAAGTGTTATTTGTAACATTTCTATATGGAACTCACTGATGTCTTTGTGATCTAAACTTTTTTTTTGTAATCTAAACTTGATTGATACAGACTAAAATTTTTTTTCTACTTTGTCTCAGTACATATTTGTAGATTAATTTTTCCATGCTTTCCTTATCTGTGTGGAGGAAGAGTAATACAATCCTCATTTTTATTTGTTGAAATTTTTAGTCTTATTGCTGAAGTGTTGCAGGTCTTTTTTTTTTTTTTAAATACTGAAGATTAAACCCAAGGCCTTCTTACTGAGCTACATCTCCAGACCCCAGCCCTTTAAATTTTTTTTGGTTTTTGAGACAGGATCTCACTAAGTCACTAAATTGCCCAGGGTGGTTTCAAACTTTTGTTCCTCCTGCTTCAGCCTCTCAGGGTGCTGGGATTAAAGTTGTGCATCACCATGCCTTGATTCTAATTATCTCTTAATTGGCTGAAGCTCATCCTCTACTAGAGATGCCTTGAGGAAGGCTTAAAGCACAGATTTCTTTGAATTCCCATATGTTTAAAACTGCTTTTCTCTAATATTAAATGTTTGAAGCACAGCTTGGCTGGATATAAAATCCTTGGCCTTCAGTTTGGTTTGTCGAGTTTTTTGGAAATACTCATCCCTTGTTGCTTTATCTTATATGCTGTATTTGAGAAGTCTAATAGGAATCAGATTCTTTTGACCTTGTAAATTATTTGATCTTTTTGCATGTTGTCTTGGGATTCTACCCCCTCCTCTACCTTTGAAGTTTAACAGTTGTAGTAGGCATATTAGTTACCTATTTTGTGTAATAAAATACTTGAAAACAACAGTAAATATATATTATCTCAAAGTTTCTTCAAGTAAAGAGTTGCTGTGGTCTGGGTAAGGGTCTCATGAGGATGTGGCTAAGTGGTTGGCTGGCTGTGGAGTCATCTGAAGGCATGGCTTGGTGTGTTATGCTGGCCAGCTGGTACTCGATGTCTCAGTTGTTACCCACACAGGCTGCTCCATGAAACGTCTGATGATTGCTGGCATCCCCGAGTCAGTGACCCATGAGAGACCAACATGGAAGCTCTAGTGTCTTTAGGACCAACCTCTGTTCTTTAGCTGTTTTTCAGGAGAAGCTAAGTTGGTCCCTGTTACTTCATCATGGTTGGAAGCAGAAGTCTCTCACCAGTTATTTCTTCTATAATTTTGTTTTGCTTCAACTTATCTTTCTTCTCCTGGTATTTTAATTAAACATGTTTGATTAGACTCTGTTATGTTACCTAGAGAAGCACTAATATTTTATCTGTCAGTTTGACTGAAGTCAAACTCCAAATTTTTTTTTTAAGGCTTTTACGTGAAGAATCTTAGACCTTTCCTTTTTATGCTATTTAACAGTTGCAGAACTACCACTCCTTTCTGGTACTTCATTTTTGTATACAACTCTTATTACCAGTTGACATAGCATTTTAAACATTTGATTTCCCCACTGTAATGTAAGTACTATGAGAGCAGATATAATTCTCTCCAGTTTAGTGCTATTTCTGCAGTTCCTAGTACAGCTCATATTGAATGCTTAATGAATCTTTGCTCTATGAATGAATGAATGACTCAGTGAATGCATTAATTTCCTCCTTTTCCTATTTTCTTATATAGTGCCCGAAAGGCAGTGGATGAGGAAGAGGGAGCAGTTGAAGAACGCCAGAATATGCAAACAATTTGGGTGTCTGGCAGGAAAGGTTTAACTACAAGGGAAGCGGCAATCTTGATAGTGGATGAAGCCAAAATGATTCTGCAGCAGGACTTAGTTGAAATGGGGGTGCAGTGGGATCCCAATTCCCCATTAAGCGCTAGTACACATTCACTGACCAGGAGTGAGTCAGAAGAAAAGGAACACACATTTGTACTTCAGACTACAGGTTGTCACAAGCGATTAATACCAAAGAGCAAAAGTAATACAAAATTTAGTGACACTTATGTTAATAATTCACCAAATACAGTGGAAGATTTAGATACAAGCAGAGAACATACAAGTTCCTTTCATTGTAAGCTCCAGAATAGTAATTGGGAACATAAGAGAAATTCCAGAGGAAGGAAATGTCCTTCTTTGGGCATAAAAAAAGAGAAGTCCAGGACCTTTCTGAATGAGGAAAAAACAAGCACTAGAAAAGTTGTTCAGATGTCATTGGAGGAAACAAAAAAAGCAGCTTTGAATTTCAATTCAGACCAGATGAACACAAGTTTTCCATCTTGGAAACACAGAAAGCGCCAAAAACAATACCAGGGCAGTAGTCCTGTGAAAGACTCTGGAGTGAAAAGCTGTATGTGTATTTCTCCTCTTTGTGAAAACCCATTTACCTTTGCTGAGAAGAATGTGGAATTTAGAAGTCCTGAGCCATTTGTCAAAAATGTATCTTATGCTGAGGGAAAAAGCAACAAAACATCATTCCTATTACAAACAGAGCAACGTTGTTTAAGGAATAGAACAATAATTAATGATACTTGTGTGGAGGATTTTTTCACAGGATCCCCAAGAGAAAATGTGATTTGTCAAGCCACTAGTGTGGTTAGTAAAAATGAAAGTGGATTAGCTGTCACTGCGACAGAAAAAGTAAATGAAGTGCCAATACAAAATGATTCAAAAAACCAGACTCCTTCGGTGAAACACCATGATACTCATCCAGTGAACCAGGGGCTGGAAAAACAATGTGATAAATCAGCAGACACTTACAGCACACAGAAAAAAATAATAGTGAGAGAAATGTCTCAAGAGGCAGTCAGCAGTATGGGTAGAGACATAAATGTTACTACTATCAAATGTGAAAGTGTAAAGTTTAATAGTGAAGAAAATAAATCTAATCATCAAGTATTAGGAAATAATATAAGAACTGAGGTGCCTAGTGGAATACATCAGTCAATGGGAGTATTTGGGAAATCAAGAGGCCAGGACGAAAATTTTCGAAATTTTTCTAGAGTGCAAGAAAAAACAGCAACAAACAAAAATGAAAATAATCATGTTTCTGACTTAGGTTTAGTACTATGTGATTTTGAAGATAGTTTATACCTAGATACTCAGTCAGAGAAAATAATTCAACAGATGGCAAATGAAAACACCAAACAAGCAAAGAACACCAGCCTGACAGCAGGGAATATGCAGAAGAGCTCAGACAAACAGAACCCTCTGGGCTCTTTTCAGAAAGAGTTTCCTATCACTTCCAGTGAGCAGCATCCTCCAGGAGTGAATAGTACAGCTCTTTCGGACATTAGGAAGCAAAGCACCAAACATGGGTTTGATAGTCCAACTCCAGAAAGCCCAATTTTTAATTCTCCAATACTGTTAGGGGAAAATGGCTCTTGTTTTAAAGGGAATGAAGTTTCTGTTACTGACTCCCAATTAAATAGTTTTCTTCAAGGTTATCAAACACAAGAAACTGTGAAGTCAGTTCTATCTGTGGTGCCTCCAAAGAGATTTCCCACTGATATGGAAGGATACTGTCTGCCAGGTCCTGAAACAAGTTTGAATATGAGTGATAGTTTACTCTTTGACAGTTTCAGTGAAGACTTCCTAGTAAAAGAACAGCCGCCTCATGGACAAGCAAAAGAACTCCTTCCTTCTGAAATAACAACAAACCATGCCAGTGATTCTCTGTGTCTACATCAAGAGGACCCAACTAAAACATCAAACATGGATAAACATCAAAATATTCAGCAGCAACTAACTTGTTTCAGTAATGAATCTATTATGTTTTCAGAAATGGATTCTACTCAGATGGTTGAAGCTATGGACAATGTCAATAAAGTTCCTGTCCGAGAAAAACATAATACTGAAGTATCTTTTAGAGTATTAGAACTAAGTGATTCACTGATTGAAGATAATAGTCACCCCCATGGAGAAATAATTGGTGGAGATCAAGATGAAATGGCTCAAAAGTCCAAATCAACTGAGACAAGGCAAAATAATTCATTCATATGGTCAGGGGCATCCTTTGATTTAAGTCCAGGATTGCAACAGATTTTAGATAAAGTGTCTAGTCCTCTAGAAAATGGAAAACCAAAATTAATGACTAGAAACTTGGCTAGTTTGAAAGGAAAAAATATTGAGTTAAATGCGAAACAGGAAATGATTTCAAATTTGGAGACATATCAAATACAGGGTATTTCATTTTCCCCTAATGATGAAGTGAAAAGCAAGATGGATGCACTAGAGAACAAGGCCAGTCATGGTGAAACCTCAGCCCTCTTGCCTTGTAAAAAAAGCTGTGTTGTTGATGATAATGGTCTCATTCCTCCTACACCCATACCAGCATCTGCTTCTAAGGTGGTATTTCCAGGGATTCTTGGAACTTCTGCAAAACCGTGGACAATGAGTAATGTTTTACAGCCTGGTGAAGGTTATTCATGTGGTTTACTGTCAGATATTAAAACCCATGGCTTACGTCCAGAGAGTAGGAATGGTTTCAAAGATGATAGATCTATTAGAGACACAAATTTTTCACTCCAATTGTCACAGGATGGCTTGCAGTTAACTCCAGCCTCATGCAGTTCAGAAAGTTTGGCTATAATTGATGTAGCAAGTGATCAGACCCTCTTTCAAACATTCATTAAGGAGTGGGAATGCAAAAATCGGTTTTCCATCTCACTGGCTTGTGAAAAGACAAGAAGTTTGACATCTTCTCAGACTGTTACTATTGGTGGGAGGTTTAAACAAGGTAAAAATTCTTTAAAATTTTATTTTTTCACATTAATCCATAAACTAATAGACTAAAATGAGAGTAGACTTTTTGATATTAAATATTAATGCAATTCTATTCAAAAACAGCTTTATTTATTTGGTCTAGCTAGATTCCTAATTGTTATTCTCTAGTACAAAAGGTATATGTAATATATGCTGTATTAGTTGGAATATAAATTTATGAAAATTAAGATAATTTTCAATATGATCAGGCATTTCTCTTATACTTAAATGCTGTCCTAATGTGACATGGTTTTTATTAATCACTGGTATTCACAAATTATTTCCTATTAGCTTATATACCATTATTTACTTACATAACCACAAAAGTCCATAGCAGGTAAGCATTATATTATTTAAGAATGTGCATTAACTGTATTTTTCAAGATTTATCTGAAGTAGAACTTAGACCTCTAGTGACAGTCATGAATTCTGTGATGAAGTGTTGATTCCAAAGCCTAACAAAGGTCTCCCAGCTTTTGCAAGTTGACCCTTTTGGTAAATCCTGCCACCTTGTCTTACTTCATGAACCCTGGTTTCTGGATTGTGGGGAGTAGCCATAGTCAGCTTCGTCTAACCACTGTGGAAATTAGATTTGATCTGATTTCTTAAATCTCTGTATTTATGAATGAATTTGTTTATAAAGTTTTAAGTATTTGATCTTCAATTCATGGAATATACCAGTTAATAAGGTGTTATGTACTTTTAGTGTTGAATAGCATTTTCCATTTTTTATTTATCACACATAAAATTGATCACATTTTCTGTTATAAGGCTGTGTGCTAGAGACTAGAGGGATTAAAACATTGAAATTTAGCAAATGTGTATTGAATTCTTATATGCCAGTTATTTTCTGGGTAGTGAGGATATATTTGTAAGTGAAACAGATTGATTCTTGACCTTTGTAAAATTGAGGATCTAGTATTTTAGATAAAAATGTTGACTCCCAATATAAAATCATGGTTAGTTCTTCATTAAGGAGTAAGATTTAAGTTTCTTATTTGTTAAGAATTGCTACATATGCTACAATGTTTTTGTGGTGTGCTAGTTCTCTCTCTTTCTGTCTCTCTCTCTCTTTCTTTCATTTGTTCGTTCATTCGTTCGAGAAAGGATCTTACTGTATAGTTCAGGCTGGCCTTGAACTATGTAGCCCAGGGTAGCCTCAAACTTGTGGCAATCTTCCTGCCTAAGCCTCCTGAATGCTGGGATTACAGGTGTGTGCTCTCATGCCTGGCTGTCCTCTTTATTTCTGTTTGAATTATAGAAACTTATAGTGCAACTTTTTCATTTAGTTGATAATCCTTTAGTCATTATTATAAATCTACTTTAAGAAATATTTAGTGGATTTTTTATGATGACAAGTATCTTAATTGATGGGAAGCCTAGAAAGATCATATATATATATATATATATATATATATATACACACATATATATATATACATATATATATAATCAAATAGTTATCTTCATAATGAATATTTTAAGATCTGCAAATTTTGCCTATCAAATATAATTTTTATCATTATTTTAATAATTTGTTTAATGTCTTACAGATTTTTTTTTGACTGTTTTACTTTTGATTCACTTAGCTAGCTCATCTCAGGAAACTTCAGTTAGAGATGATAGATTTCCTATTCAAGGCTCTGATGACATACTAGTGGTTGGACTGGCAGTGTGCTGGGGTGGAAGGGATGCATATTATATTTCACTGCAGAAGGAGCAGAAGCATCCTGGTAAGTAATCAAAATTTGGCTAAGTCACTATGTAATTAATGAAACATCTATTAGGATAATAATCCGTTTGTTGAGAATAATTTCCTGACAGGACCCAGGATTTATTTATAAAATTAAAAATTATAGTTATTTGGACAGCAATCAGTGTGTACATAATTGCCAGGGCTTGAACCTAGGGCCTTGTCCCTACTAGGCAAGTGCTCCACCACTTAGCTATTTCCCTAGACCCAAATGAATGTTTTAAGAAGTGTTTGCTTTGCTCCTCTCATCCTGTCACATATCCAGCTGTTAGCAGTGGACCAATAGTTATTTCTTCTTAGTCTTTTTCCTGCCATTGATTGAGTCTGGATCTCATCCAGAGACAATGTTGAGCTAGATTTCTATAGTTGCTGAATTACATAGCCTTTGGAGGAGCCTTTGGAGCTGAAAGGATGAGATCTAGAAATGCTTTGTGATCTAATTATGGCTGGTAGACACTCAGCTGTTTGCTTGGTTCTGGACAGGAGCAAAATTAATAAGGTTGCCATATAATGTCTGTTCCCCAATAAGGATAAGACATTTTCAGTTGTTTGGTAAGGAAGTCTGTTAAGCTGAGTAGTTGTTTGAGCTTCTACTTCTTTTATTTTTGATATAACATTATAATATCTCCCTTGAAAATTCACTTCAGTGCCAAATGTGGTATCATGCATCTATAAATCCTAGCACTAGGGAAGGGAAGGTGGCAGGATTGCCATGATTTTGAGGCCTGCCTGGATTACACAGTGAGTATAAGGCCAGCTGGAACTACATAGTGAGAGGAGGACCCTGTTTCAGAACAAAACAAAATAACAATAAAATAAAATTAACTTCAAAATACCTGTTTAACCTGTCTTTATATCCTCTTTCTGAAAATGTAATTTTAGTTTTGTAGTCTTGATATTTTAGAATCTTCTCCCATGTAATTAAATAGAGCATTATGAAATGTATAGCTCAAACCTTAGTGTTTAGATTCATCTACATTGTCAATATGACCCGGACAAGGTTATGCTGAATTAGTGGTCACTCAGTACTGAGTCTTTAGCCTCTTAATTTTTTTAGGTTTAAGATTGCTGCTGCAAATGAATCATCTACTTTTTACAGTAAGACTTTTTTTCATCCCAAGAAATTAGTGCCAGTTTGGCCCCACCTTCTCTGGATCCAGCCCTGACTGTGAGAGAGAGAATGTGGCACCTTCAATCCTGCTTGCAAAAGGAATCTGATAAGGACCGAACTGTTATCATCTATGATTTCATCCGGAGCTATAAAATTTTTCTTCAGTCTTGTGGCATCTCCCTGGAGCAAAGTTATGAAGACCCTAAGGTTCTATGTTTTATTTAATTTTTATAAACTTAAACATTGATAGTAATTCTTAAATTACTTGGTATTTATTTAGCTTAAGTAATGCAACAAATCATTTAGAGAAGTCATGTCTTTATCCAGTAATCTCATCCAGAATATAATATTATGCACCAAATATCTGTGTCGATAAAAACGGAGTTGTCACAAATTCTAACCCCTAAAGTTCATGTCTTTTCTCAGAGATTTTTAAAAAAATTAATTTTAGTCATAAATTGTAAGTTTTTATACCATAGTAAATTAGAAGTGAAATGAGAACCATTCAATTTGGGCATATGATAGGATTTTCCACATAACCCTGAGAATGGAGGCAGAAAATAGGAAAAGTGCATGAATACAAAATGTTAAAAGGGGTATACTTAGGGGACACAGAAGGACATTATGATACTAGTCCCTGAGAATGATCCTATGTCACAACAATGTATGATACACTCTTCATAATCCTGACTCTGAGTTAATCAAGGTTGGGGTAACATGTTATTGTAATATACATTTAACAGTATAATGCATTTCAGAGGACATTTATTTATAACATAATCTCTAAAGATACATCATTTTCTCCATCTTTTGACAATGGATATATTAGACATACAGAGTATTAATTTAGAATTGAAAAATTACACTGTTTGATAGTTGTTACCAATACTGTACAGTCAATAGGATGATTTTTTGATTTCTTCCCCCCTGCCCCTCGTGGTACTGGGGATTAAATCTAAACCTAAGGTCTCATGCATGCTAGGCAACATTCAGCCACAATTTCTTGGATTTTTTTTTTTTTTTGCAAAGACTTTAAACTGACTTCTACTAGATATAAAAGGTTATCACTTAATCTTGATGTTCTGGAGTCTAAAACAAGAATTTCTGTAATATGAGACTCTCATTAAAACTATAGTAGCATCCAACATTTATATAGCATCTTCTTTTGAAACTACTTGAAATATTTCATATTTGGTTTTATTAATCACATTTTTGGTTTAAGAAGAGACTATTAATTTTTAAAATCTCACTTTTATAAGAAGCCACCTTTAAAAAAATTATTGGTACATTTTAGATATACATAATACTAACATTCATCATAGGGAATTTGTACCTGTACATGATATATCTTTCTTTTTCTTTTTTTGCCATTCCCCTCCCCTCTGTGCAACCTCTCCCCCCCCTTATTTACAAAAGCTTTGTTTCCGTTTTTTCCCTTTTAGTCTCTTTTTTCTTGTCTCTTCTTTTAGTTCTCACCTTTGTCCAACTTTTATATCAGACTTTCCCATTCAAAATAACCCTATAAGACTTTATAATTAGTCTACAAAAGAAGTAACTGAGTCATATAGTAATTTTCAGAAATATTAGCAAAGCTTAGATTTCTATATTACAAATCTAGTTCATGCTCTGTTATATCTAGTATTAGAAGCTACAGGTCTCCTATTTTCATGGGGAAGCTAAAAATAGCAATCAAGTGACCAACTGGGTGGTCCTGGTGACAGACTTCTCTCTTGAAGAGAAGATGTAGAGGCTTTCTGAAAATCTGGATATGAACTTTCAGTGGTAAAACATTTATGCTTCACTTCTACTCTTGAAAGAACTAAGTAAACCTAAAAGCATATAGGCCCATCTATATTATAGTTGCTTCGGCCAAATCAGCCTAAGCTTCATCTTCATGCTCAGACACATGGTTTCAGTTGAAGGCACTTGTTTGTTAAGTTTTTAGAACTGGGCTGTCCAGGAGCATTTCAGTGATGGAGAAGTTACAGGTTTTTTCATTCTTTGAAGTCCACTGCTATTATTGGAACCAAAATGAGTCCTGTTCTTATTATGCTTTCTTTCTCCTTTCCTGAGGAAAGCACTGAGTGATATAAATTAATTTTTACACAAAGATCTTAGAAAACATCAAAAAAAAAATTCTGATTGCTATCCCATTCAGGTGGCATGCTGGTTATTAGATCCAGATTCCATGGAGCCAAATCTTCACAGTATGGTTACTAGTTATCTTCCTCATGAGCTCCCGCTCCTAGAAGGCATGGAGACTGGTCAAGGAATTCAAAGCCTGGGGCTGAATGTGACCACTGAGCATTCTGGGCGGTATAGAGCATCTGTGGAGTCCGTTCTCATCTTCAGTTGTATGAACCAACTCCACTCTTTGTTGCAGAAGGAAAACCTTCAAGGTAAAAACAAAGTTCCTGGCACTTTTATGATACCAGCATATATGTATATGTATGGGTATATGTATATGTATATATAGGTATGTAGATTTTATGTATGTATGTGTGTATATATAGCCATTCTTTGTCACAGGTGAATAAATTACACATTTTATGTAAACCCTACCTTTGGATTGTCTAATGCAATAGTCAACAAACTTTTCTCTGTAGAAGGCCAGATAGTACCTATCTGACTTGTGGACCACACAGTCTCTATCACAGATTCTCCACTCTGACACTGTAGCACCAGAAGAGCCATAGACAATACCAAAACAAATGGCTGTGACTGTCTTTCAATAATGTATTTATGAAAACATGTATCTGATGCTAGTTTGGACATCGTTTGCTAACCTCTGGCCCTGCTATAAGGAAGACAGTAGTATTTTATTCATTTGTTACCAATTATATATTTGAAATTTATCAATTTTTTATGCCTAGAAGACATCTTTCATGATTTACAAAAAAGTGACCTATTTAAAAAAAACAAACTATAAACAATCCTTTCTTCAGCAAAGGATATTCATGAGGTTCTCTTCTTTCCTCATGACAAATAGCATAAATTTGTTGAGAAGTCTTCTAGCCCAGAAAGAGTACTTTGATTTTACAAATGCTATAGTAAAGAGTGAAGGGAGCCAGGATAGGTGGTGCCATACATAAAATCCCAGCACTCTGGAAGGCTGAGGTAGGAGAATCGTAAGTTTGAACCTAGCCTGGACAACTCAGCAACTTAGCGAGACCTTGTCTCAAAATTTAAAAAAGTCTACAGAAATAGCTCAGTGTGAATGCCCTGTATTCATTCCCCAGCAATGCATACACACACACACACACACACACACACACACACACACACACACACACGACAGTGAAGGGGAACAAGGTTGCTTTATTGTGAGATTATACTGTGAATTCGTTGATAGGTTGATCTTTAGAGTCTAGAAACCTCACATTGATGAGTTCACACAAAACAGGGTTTAGATCTGTACTAGCTATTGAAACTCTTTATGCCTGGTTCTTAGAAAGTTGTTATAAACATTAAATGAAACATAGAAAGTGCTTATTATCAGATCAGTTGATTATTATGATTATTTTTACCTGTACCACAAACCTTTCCTGCCAGTACTAATGTTCTCTCCAACCCTGTGGGGTGAGATAACAAGAACCAGACTACTTTTATGTTTATAGGAGGCATTCTGCTTAGGTCATATTCATCAGCTGCTCTTTTTTTTTTTTTTTTTTTGAGACAGGGTCTTGCTCTGTAGTTCAGGCTATCCTTGAGCTTGAGCTCACTATGTAGCCCAGGCTGGCCTTGATCTCACAGTGATCTTCCTGCCTCAGCCTCCTGAGTGCTGGGATCACAGGCATGCACCACCACACCCAGCTCATCATCAGCCGCTCTTGTACAAGTACTGTAGTATTTCAACTTCACCTTCTCTTAAGCCAGCATTGGCACACCTAGGAGGGAGAGTACTGCCCTGTGTGCCACAGCACTGCTCCTGCACTCGCTTTCAACAATGCTTATCCCCATTCACTTCTTTTCCACCTGTAGGTGGGGCCCTGGGCAGTGTGGCTGTGCACTTCTCAGACACGAACTGCTAAAGATGTTGATAGGAATTGGTCTGTGCCTTTTTTTTCGGATGTTTGTTACCCTTATCAGAGTTACAAGCTTTATAAACACTAATCCAAACTTAAAGACAGGTTTTTATCTATAAAAATGGGGGATTGTAGTTTTCATTTCCAGAAACACACAAGAAATGTCAAGATTCATTATTGTAACTTTCATCATTTTAATGTGCTTCAAAAGCACCTTCTTTCTGCAAACTTAGAAATAGGTGACTAGGAAATGTTAAATGCGTTTTTACACAGTGTTAATGTTTTCTTAATCATAAAATTAATAGAATTGAAGTACATTGAGAAAAAGTTTTCTGCAGAGAATGTGGAAAACTATAAATTGTGTTTGGAAATAATTTTTTCAGAATTTGCATGTTTATTTTAATGGATCTCTAGATCTTTTTCTTTTTTCATACTCTTGTCTTGTGGGTAGTGATGTTCTGAGAGCTGACTTTCTCAGAGAGCTGTTTTGTTTGGATGTGAATATATATTAAGAAGATAATGTGTCTTTGTGTAATGTGACCTAGGACAAAATATCTATAGGAATCAGTTAGGTCGTACCGTTTGAACATATATGAGAAAAAATTTTAAGTATGAAGTTGGTTTCTCTTCTTTTTAAAGAATGTGAGCCCTACATATCTGTAATAATCATGTTCTTTCATGTATATTATTATCAGTTCACATGTGGACCTATTATTATTTTAATAATATAATGAATACCTGTGAACTCAACATTAAATTGCACTGTCTTGTTCTTCCTTTCTTGAATATCCCAAGTTTTATATCATTCCCTTGTTTTTTTTAAAT